TAAAATGTTTCACACCAACCTGGCGTGAATAGAGTTTAGTTCGTGAATCTCGTACAATTTGGGTTCAGACAGTGCATAAGATGAACAAAACTCCGGGACTGCACCTATCTAACAAGCACCAAGAAATGTGAATCCGGTCGTAGGCTGTCGAAGAGTTTTCAGCAAACTCATGAGTAATTTTGACCGTAAAAATATAAATGTTGCCACGTGAACCTGAAAGCGACATTTGTACAGATCATTCGGTTGAGGACGATCACAAACGACACATTCAGCTGGAGTTAAGCTCAATCTCTTATGGTAACCAAATGGGTGAGCAAGTGAGTGAGTGTAGTTCGCGAACTCACTGACACTTTACTCGACCGAGCCGGTTACTAACTCATCATCTGACTGTTCATTTGATTAGTCATCACTCATCTCGAAAGGTCCTCCATGAGTTGGTTAGACCAAGAGGCACGCACTCCAACTCATATACAACAAACTATTCTGTGGATTTGTATATCTGCAGACAAACTCAATGACATGTTAACCACAGTGACAAGTGACTGATTTCCTTCGCATTGATTTAGTACGGTCTTCAGGGCCTTGTTTACCAGACTTGAACAAGACTAAGAATAGCTTGTACGACTTAAATCTACTCTGGTCGACAAGAATAAACACAGCTGCACTGCTACGTAGCTAGAATAACTCTGGTGGGACACTGAAACACAAGAATTGTAGTGAGAGTTATATAACAAAACCACAACGTACGGTCCAAAACTGCCCTGAAAACCTCGAGTTTGAAAGGATTGATGTAGGTTGGCTCGCTGTTACAAGGCTCATTAGAATGCAGGGAAGCTACGAAAAGAAACCACCCAGTTTGTTGCAAAATTACAAAACTTGTCGAAAATATCTTCAGATAACTCAAAAGCAATTGAGCTCTGCGAGCGTCTCGATCCAATACACTGGCGCTTAGCATCATTGTTGGGATCACCGGAGAGAGGATACCACCATTTAATTTCATTTTTCAAAACTTCTTTACCACTTCACAAATTATTTTCTTTACTCAGGTCAAAATATAAAGTCTCGTGAATTGATATTTGGTGAACTCAGAAGGCTTTTCAACATTTTTTCGTTGGATCTTGTCTACCTAATCAGTTATCTTCTCCACGAAATATTTAAAGGCTGCAGAATTCAAACGGTCGTTAAGCCAAAAAGGGGAGCATACCCGAGTAAGCTCAAAATATCCCCGCCGGTTGAGCTTTGCTTTGACGAGCCAGAGATGCAGCTTCTTAGGATTCCAAATAAGGCGTGGATACCTAGTTCACTTCACTTGTCATGCGTAGTCTGCGGCCATAAATATAGGAGGCGGACTGATCGAAGAGTTTCAGCGCATGAGGCCCTACAGAAACCATTTACACTAAACGATAGTGATAAATTTCATCAGCCCTGAGTAACTATATACGAATTTCTAGAAGAACGCGGTGTTCTGATCTCTTCCATGTTGGCCAAGCAGTACTTTTCACAACGCGCCACGATCCAGCCGGTATTTGGGTGAGCTGTGGCTGATCAGTCCCAAGCCCCAACTCTTCATTATTTCCATCGTTGCTGTTCGTTATTACTATGTTGACGATCATTTCGGTAGTAGTGACTTTGTTTTCAGCCTATTGCTTGTTCCGTTGCAACACATTCTAAGGAATCCTTCCTTTTTAGTTGTAGTCAATGGTACTCGTAGGATATGTGTATACACTCACCTTCACTGCCACCAGATCACCAGTCAATAGGTGGCGGATCTACACACTGGCGCAAAAGGCTTGCTTGCAACGTCACGCTAGGCTCTGTGCAAACTGCTAGAATCCTTCCCTGTGTGCACGGGCGTCCACCAGGAGTTTAACTAATGTTAACCACTTATTCCACTTATTCAGTGTAAAGAAGATACTGACTGCCAGGTCGACAAATCGGTGTAGGTGCGGACGAAATTCGTATCCGCTTACCAGTCGCTAAAACTCCCTCCGTGGTGTGCAGCTTTCGTTCGTATTTCTACCGAGTGTAGGACTTGCTTCCGGGCCCTGCTCACTGGAGCACTTGGTTGCGTGAGGTGTGTTAGCTCAGCTGCTCCCGAAATCTTCCATATCCCGAGCTGTAGCGTAGGACCATGTCATGTAGCGCAGGTGTAGGAGAGACCCAGAAAAGACGTCTGCACTTTGGAAAAGATGAGTCGTTTTGCACGAACTTTTTGTGTCACATACTATGTGTACAAAAACCTTCCGCGTAAATGAGTCACTCTCACTTGTTTAAGAATCCAATGGTCCTTAGTCAATGTTATCCTTTATCCAACTGTAAAATGCTTCCTTATTTCTATTAGCTCAACTAGTTCTCTAGTGTTTTGATCGATACCGCTTTCGCAAATGTCAGCAGACACAGCTAAAGTAATATTAGACGGGTTACGAATTGGCTCACAGTGTGTACACATCGGTTACTTGGTCAGCAGTGGGATGAAAAAATTGTGTTTTGAACGAGAACATACAGATAAACGGTAAAAGTGAACCCTGAAGGGAGAACTGAAGCACTTAAGAACCGGGATAATTGCAACTGAGTGCTCTGAATTTTGTGTAGATTTGAAATTGCAAACAGAATAGATAGTGTTCAAGTACTTTCGGAGTCATCGGCTGCGCAATTGCACTTGATTCGTCTTTAGCATAATATCAAGTTGGTTTTGACGAGGGACTCACGTGGAACCCAGCTAGATCTTATGATTGTGATGATTTTAAGTGTTTTAAGCAACCTTGTCAGTAGTGCTTTGCGTTCATACAGTGTCTTTTGTGAAGAAAACTACCTAGAAACTCGGTGGAAATTATTCAGCAGCTCGTCTTCACCATTCCTGAAGTTCATCAGGTGTGCGCAGTGCACGGATTTTCGTCGACCTTATGTTCTGCTTGATGTGCCCCAAGAGAGGGAAAATCAGCTAGAAACCTTTTAAGCTGATTCTTTCAAAAAAGCATACCACTTGAACACCAAACCAACTTAGACATTAGATGGCTTGGAATTAATTTGGTATACAAATGGGTGTATTTCGTGAACATGGTTTGCTTCATTAAGCAGCACGGGGTTTGCCGTGAACAGAGGTTCGTTTGCTAATAGACACAGACTATGCAGATTGGTGTTCGACCATACTCTGGCCCGACAGACCTAATCAGATTCTTTCTGGGTAAAACGAAGCCTTTTCCAAAGTGAACATGTTGTTGAGCAGACGGTTCTATATCAAGGAGAAAGCTACAGCATTTCTGCTTAGTAGCCAATCAATCGGTAGATAATACAACGTACAGAGCATATCCGCTTACATGCAATGGCTCATGCCACATTATCAAGAAATCCTAATATGAGCATAGTACAGGATAGAAAGTCAGCGAAGTTTAGGGTCCTGTGTAATCACTATTGACTTCTGACAAGTTTTAGATTTTAGAGCCGTCTATATCTGCATCACTTCTGTCGAATACGCTCAGTGTCACTTATCAATCGGATAAGTGAAGCTGCCTCACTGGCGTTCTACGCCTCCCTCAAGTTGACCGCTTTGTGGAGGACTAGCAACTAGCTCTGCTCTGCATTGTGTGAACATAACTTAGATGCGGTTATTGGACGATGCCACCGGATTCGATTGACAGTTAATCACGATATGACTGTCGTCGATCTCATGCGATACTAACCGAGTTCTTGGACGTACTGCAATGTTACTGATATTTACACTGATCGGATTCGCGAGGATTTTTGGTCCATGATTTTACCATGCTGAGGTAGGATTTTGTACACTGTCTGACTCGAGGCAAAGTCGATCGCGCAAAAATCGACTAATTTTGGTGAGAAGGAAAACTGTATCCTCCATATATATGTATATATAGCTTAAAACAAAAAGTAGTTCCATGCGTTTCCATAAGTGGATAGAATGACCGTAGCAGATACCGAGTTCCACGGTCTGGAAGTGATCCACTACGATAGAAATTAGGCGATCAACAATTCGTTTCTTAAGAAAAGGTTTACAGGAAATAAAATGCCAGCTAATGCTGTAAATGGATTTGGTCGTAAATATCAGTTTGACCGTCACCAGACTGAATTCTGTAATCACAGAGTCCTGGAACACAAAGTATATTTTGATAATGCTGATTGCACTAAAGCCATTTTCCGTTGAATGAGATTTTTAGAATGCCGTTTTTCCCCTCTATCGTTTGACAATGGGGTTCTTCATTAGAGCATATACTTTTAGTAAAAGGCCAGTTCTATATGTCTCTGGAACCAGATTCAGCTTCATTTAAGAGTGAAGAACCTAAGGTTGTAAACGCAGTAGCGGAATCATCTATTTCCGTCAATGAGGCGCGTTTCATTGAGTTCCTCCTTCCAGAATTACCAAGTTCCTAAGGAGTGATCTTCAGAGGAGACTGGTTGGACAGTACTCGGTCAAGCTATTGCTGCCAGATCAAGGGGGCGCTAGAACTAGTGGCAGGGTTTCCGTCAAATGATTTCTGTGGATTTTGAAGATAGCAAACCTCGAATTAAGTCTCCAAGCCACCACAACTGGATACATGGACTTCGTAATCTGAAAAAGACCTAAATGTTCTTCGATTTGTTCATTGACGCGTCTGTAGCCCTTGAGTTTTATCAACCGAGCTTAACTCGCTCGTGCATGAGTTCGTAACATCTACTGGTTCAAATAGACACCAAATTGTGATTGGTGTGTTTGACACGCACCCTTATTGGTTGGCTGGTTCTCTGTAATTTGATGTACCTAAGACGGGCGACATCCAAGTCAACAAGTAATCCTTCAGGGTGTAGGTGATCATGAACGACTATGATTCGAACCATTACGTCAAGCATAAGGTCTCTGTCTGGACTTCTACAACTTGTGAGGCAGTCACATCAACAATATTATTCGAGGCAGCTCATCAGACAGCTCAGCTTAGGGTGGAAGAAAGCGGAGCACTTCCTAGTGAGTTCCCATTCGGAATTAAAGTATCCAGAAAGAATAACCTGGACTCCCACAAAATATTAGGAATAGCAAATCTATCAGACAAGGTAAATAAGTACCGGACAGAACGCGACAAGTAAACCAGTACAAATGTGCGCGTTGTGAATCGGTGAGAATGGGACAACACAATGAGGGACAGAAGCACGTGATGAGAAAAAAATTGAAATTGTTCGCGGTAAGAACCAGATCACATCATGTTTATTGGAATGCACTGTAAGTATGATATCACAAGACGACTGAGGTCGATGTAGCAAGGTCAACATTTTTGTGAAATGTGGCGAACTTGTTGGGACTGTGATACCCGGCAGTTGAGACTTTAAAAAGTGTTAAAAGCGAAGAATTCGGTCAGGAAAAATTATCTGCCATGGGTGATGCGCAACATGATAATGAGGCGACAGATCTAAGCAACGTATTTCGTTAAATCCCCATTTAGCTTGTCATGGTGTGATTTGGAATGCATGTTCGACTGCGTACTGTTCTCGTAATCCCTAGCAAGTTGACTAAGAGATTTCCTGTCGGTAATCTTTCCTCGTTCCGCATCAACCTGCAACGTTACGAATCCATTGTGTCTTGTGGTCTGAAGAATAACATCTTCTTGGTCATCTTCATCATCTGACTCCGGAAAAGATGGATCCCCATCTTGGTTGAGCAGACGAAACCCGACTCGCTGGGCCTTCTTTGGACGACCAGTCCACCGCGAGAATCTGTTTCGCAGAATAGCCGGTTCAGGAGAGTGACGTCCACACCAGCACATATGTATGCAAACAACTAGTGCAATGAACACCAGCAGGACAAACAGCATAATCAATCCGGCCAACTGTGCACCAGACATCTGATGAGATACCCAATATCCAGCTGTTGAGACGGTATTTCGGAAGAACCGAGCCAGGGTTGAATCTTGCGCGATATCTAGAGCAAACATTAGTGTAATCAGAATATTTGCATTGCATAAATGGAAGTGACTATAAACAAAAGTGTAGAGTACATAAGTGTATTACATGTGTTGATACTTCAAGATTAATCTGCTCTTGCTTTCGTTCAAATGCATCTTTCAAAAAAAGAGCAAACATGTAATCAGAATATTTGCATTGCATAAATGGAAGTGACTATAAACAAAAGTGTAGAGTACATAAGTGTATTACATGTGTTTGTTGTTCAAGATTAATCTGCTCTTGCTTTCGTTCAAATGCATCTTTCAAAAAAAGCCTTGCCCTGTGTCCGCTGCGTTAATTCATACTTTTATGTGCCTTCTATGCGGCAACGTGGTTAAATTAACCTGAGAATTTTGAATCTCAACTGGAAACTTGCTTCATAGAGGGTGTAAATATCCTAAAGAAAAGACTTCGGGATGTCTGATACTACGTAAGATGAAATTAGCTGTTTGTCTCTGATTTGTCCCCAATACTACCTGGGAACGTAGGCTGCTATCTTTGCTTCGTGAAAGGCAAAATAAAGCGATATAAATCCCATGAGTATCTGTAGATAAGGTTGATTAGATGGTCAAAAGGACTCTGAAATTCAACGAACTACTGAGACACCTCAAAAGTAAACGTCCAGCTCAAAACTCTAGGGCTGAAACAGATAGCGAGCATCTGCTTCAGCGGAACTGCAGCACAGCCGAGGGGACGCGACAGGAAGAACAGTGCATTAGGTTCCATTGAAATGATACACTATTCGTAAGGTCGTTAACAGCTTATCGATAGCACAGTGTCAGTTTTGCCCGTTTTAGGACTTCACGTGCAGATACTTCCCGAGTTTCCATAAACTCTATGTTTCACTTGAATACCCAAATGTACATGATGTGGTGAAAACACATCCGTTATGTTGGTGTTAAAGATACCAAACTGAATCTCTCGTTCATAATAGTAGTATGATTATAAGAAGGGTACGGACTGCAGTAGGCAGTCGAACGGTTTTCAGAGGCCTTATGAGTAGTTTGTTATTTGAAAAAATACTTCGATGCCTTCAATACGATACCAAACTTAACATGAGACGACCTTTGAGTAGCATCATAAGCGGGAGATCCTCTGGAGTATCTCGCTAACAAAAATGCAATTTGCTGAAGTATATCAGACTTCATTCACACCAGCACCCTGTTTAAATTAGCCCTTCGCGCTCAGGCAGCTTGGTCCCAGGTAACCCACACTATACCGTATTCTTTCTATCTGACATCCGACACCTTAATCCCCCAAACCTATCTTCATCACATACCTAGGCTTTTTCTCTTCGGCTGTGGGGCGACTGCAAAGCAGCGTGTAATTTTGGTCCACCTCTGCCCATTAAAATGGATGGATAATCCGTGGGTGCTGGCTTGGTCGAGACGAGGTCAGCCAATTAACACGGTGGGTGGATGTGACACCGAGTGTAGAGGTGTGCGCAGTGACTGAACCGAGCGTTTAGTTTGATGTGTGTTATTCGCTTGGTAGCCTCGTTTCTGTCATCGTCATATCTCTAAAAACAGAGATTCTGTTCGCATGGTTAACAATACACGTAAATGTGGGACGTTCTGTTCATCTAACACCCCGTGATGAGCGCAGATGTTACTGAATAGCTTAAGAATGGGCGGCCACCCAGCTACGCTGTTCCAAGAGTTGGTAACAGGATGATCTGTACCTTGCCACTTTCCCCTTTTGCCTACCAGAGATATTCAAATAAACAAGAGGACCGTAGAAAAGGCGTCATCACCACGTCAATATCCAAGCCTGAGTAAAAAGCTGTATTCTCACAATCAAATGTGTCAGCAATGAACAAAAATGTTCGTCTCGACATGAATAATGTCTTATTCTGATGATTTATCTAGATAGGCCCAACCAGCAATGTGATAACACATCGCCTGTTGAGAAGCGAATCCAAGTAAACTTATGGAGAAATGTTGTCCCATACCCATTAGGGACTTTGGCAGTCAGTGATCTCTTACGACCAATGCCACATGTACGTAAAACCTGAGTGTAGGACGTCCTTCAATCCATAGGAAGGCAGTGACTTGTGAAAAACTCAACCGAAGGTCACAGAATCATAGACACGTAAAAATTCAACCAGTTAGTTTTGTTTTTATACTCAAGCAACAAACTGCAATAATTATTCCTTTTCTTACTACCTTTGTTGCAGAAGAAATGAGGACCTCAAGCATATCTTGGGACCCTCAAAGCCTCGATATTTCGTGCAGAGTTGTACCATACACAATCGAGAAGCAAAGTGATAGGTATTGTTTCCTTGGACTTGGTACCTCTGAGCGGGGCGCGAAGAACTGCATAGATTTCTACTGAATAATGTCACAAGTTAGAAGCTGTTGGCTTTATCACCTCATTGATTACTCGTCCCCCAATGTGACCATTTTACCGAATTCACTCCAATCTGGAACCATGCATTCTTTCAAATCCTAGTACAGAAGTGATTGGTCTGTGCTGACACATGGGGAAAATCACTATGATCTGCGATTCTGGGAATCGCCTAAGGCACTTCCAACCCAATTATTGGGACGATACATACTGGGAAGAACGTCAAACTACATCTGGAAGGTGACTTTCGCTTCGTTCGATGCCTTGCCTGCATGGTTTAAATCTGACGACAACTGGTAAACCTATGAGTATTGGTGTTCCATTTTAGCACTATAGAACAACACAAGAGCGCTGCTATCTCTGAATCAAACTACCTCCAAAGTTTTTACACGCATCTGCAGAAAACTTCAGGACTATTCTCATTTTTCACAATACAGCGGATATATTCCAATAGTCAGCTTTAGCGGTGACTTGAGAAAACTGCAACCGACTAAAACCAACTCTAGTGAAGCTTTGTACTTTGTTAGGTCAAACTGCATTGATTTCACAAGTCCTAGTATTAACAGTACGGCAGCAACACATCACTGTGGTGCCAAGGGCGTCAATGGAAATCAATGTGGCTTGCAAGCAAAATATCGGTCACCTTGTGCTTGGTTACTGGACTGACTCATTGTGGTTTGGTTGCCTGGGTGAGTTATGGGTTCACTCTCAACACGGCTCTATAGCGCGCCAACTTAACGGCTGTTTGCCCCTGACTTGCTATATACTAAAGACTGGTTGACAAGCCCTTCTATCCTGTTTTCACGAAGCGATAATTTGCAGAGTTTTCAAATTCCGAGATCACCTGGACAACGCAGATGATCAGACGGCAAATATGCCGTGCAAGAGATGGATGCTCTTAGCCTGTCGCACCCGTGTGTAGTCGTATCGAACGTAACGGATCATATTAGCGTGAATATTAGCCGCCTTCACTGAAATAAGAGCAATGAACAAGAGAAGCAGCTTCCTTATTTTGCATCACGTAGCAAGGTTGTCACTCATAACATGTGGGTAACATGAAATCAGTTGCCGATCAATTTCGTGATAGACCATGGATGTGGTGTGGGCTTTCTGGACAACACGCATATCATGAATTGTATTTTCTGAGCTTCAATGCAGTACGTGCCCGCATATGTTACTAGGACTGACATTTTTATGGTATTGATACTGCAGAATGTGTTAGACTTTAATAGCTAAGCCGACACCTAGTCGCATACACCAAAATCCTGCATTTACTGGAGTATTCTGTGTTACATTTGCGTCTGAAATACGGTTAACGGTTTCAGTTTTCATCTTCTCTTTTATGGTAACATTTCCCGACAAACTTCAACCGTAAATTACTGTAATTAAGCTAAATAAAACTGGATGCTCTTCATAAAGGAGAATACTCACAAGGTTGCTGAAAACTCGTTGACAGTCCACGACCGGTTTCGCCCTTCTTGGGGCTTATCAGGGAGGCGCAGTTCTTGACTTTCCGTCAACCTTATGTTCTACTTGAACCCAAATTGGACGGGAAATTCAAATTGATTTGCACATGAAAACTGGATGCTCTTTATAGAGATCAATTTAGTGTAGGTTCGCGACATTTCCACAGTTACCTGAGTTTCATGTACTTATTGCGCTACCGTTCGGTGGCAAAACTGAAATGTTGCGCTTGAATTCTTGCCGAAAGTGTACAGGAATTCGCATTCCACGTGCTTGAGTCGAGTCTCATTATTTTTAATTTATTTTAGGCATCCTGGTTTGCTGATATGAGTGACGAATAAGAATGGGAATTTCCAACAAAGATGGATTTCAAGTAAGGTATTGATTTTCCCTGGTTCTTTCGGTGTCAATCAGTTTTAGGGAGGACGAGGGATTAACGCGATCTTAGCATGTTTCGTGGTTCAATAAAATTGTCGGTCGCATGGAGATAGAAGGGCGTGAAAAATCTGAATTTCGCTACCAGGTAGCTGAGAAGCTCAGCAAATGTAAGGCCCACAGGGGCCCACGAATGGATATATTCATATCCACGTGGTCCGACAAAGGGTCTATCCTTCACCTGCTTACTGTTTGACCGATGGACACTTCGTAATGGGCATGTGTGAACGGGCTGTATAGAAAAGTTCATTCCGGATGTTTTTCCGATTACTTTAACCCGGTTTCCGCTAGCTAGATCACCATCAAAGGACAGAAAGTACAAGCAAGACGTTCTACCATATTCCGGGCTAACTGTTTTAGAGGCATTGGTTTCTTGTGCTCTTCGGGAAGGTGTGACCTTATCCGTTTTTTACTAAACAGGTTTGTGAGGAATTTCGGCTTCTTTTAAAAAATCTCTTCCAGGCAAGTGATTCTATTTCTGTGGAACAGACAGTGAATTGAGGCTCGCTGAGGTTTCAGTGGCAAGTGTGTATACCGACCGGTCAGCGTTGGTTTACGGAAATTACTTTTCTGTTCAGCCCGGAATGAGAGTCTGTTTCCCTGTTCACCTTCATCTGTAAATTAGGTTGTCCAAACATGCTTTCTTAAAGCTATCTAAAATAAGATGAACAGTACCACTATATATAACGAATATATAGTTCACATATCTACAACGAAAAGCAAGCGGGGGTAGTTTATTCACCAGCGTTGAAGTTACCAGTTTCTCAGTTTTATTATATCATACGTTTGTCCGAGTCTAAGGAAAAGACGTAAAAAATGCTCACCACTGAAGGTCAATTTCTTCCGTACCAACTGAGTGTGATATGCGTTGATTTTTTTTAAATTTGACGCTTTACACGTAGTGCGAATAAGGACTAGGCTATTAGCTCGAATGGGGGCAAGACGGCCCAAGTGGTTAGAACGCGAATTTACGGACCAGAAGGTCCGTGGTTCGAACCCGACCTCTGCCTCTCGAATTCCCCTGTCAGGCTTGGGCAACTTGACAGTATCCCAGCCCTCGTGCTTCATTCTGGTGGCATGGCAGCTAGGCACCGGAAGGGTGTTACAGCTGAACGATTTTTTTCCGATTACCTCGAATTCGTCGTCTGTTCCTAGTATCTTCTCCAAAAAAACGGTGAATTTTAAGCAGAAAAATCACACACTAGACTAAAACCGAAAATTATTTGGAAACACAACAAACGAAGACATGAAAATGAGGAATTTAAATGTAAATTGATTGGACGCGCAGACTGACTGGTGGCAAGTAATTCCAGACACTCATAAATAAGGTCCGGTTGAGCAACTGTCAACAATCACTTACCTCCATTCGTGACAATCTCAAAACGGAATGCAATCGATGAGGCCAAGTCAACTGCATATAAGTGTCGTCCACTGGTTGTGATTGTCATTGCATGCGGTTGTGCTATCCGAGGCATGGAGAAGAAACCCATAATCGCACTGGATTCCTTCAAGCCAGTCAGCATTTCCGGGTGAGTGTGGAGCTGCTCAAGGCTGTGTGGGCGTATTGGATCCAGGAGAACCCCGTGGGATTTGTAGGGTTGTTCCATATTGCCGTCAGCATTTATTGCTGCAAAGAGGACTCTGTAATAAGGGATAGAAGGTTGAAAACATAACACACTGGGATGTATTTACAAGCACAGATGCATTAGCCCCAAATCTATCGAACGATCAATCAGATTTTCCTCGTGCTGAAGCTCTAATCAGACATTACATTCCGAAATTCATTATAACAGGATCCCCGGACGAGTTGTTGCAAGAAAAAGGGACCTATTGGGATTCCAGTTTTGTTTGTGAATTTTAGGGAAGAAGTATCGTAATAGAGGTATCTAAACAACTGTTTACATAAAATCAGAATCAAAGTTAGGACAGGATATCGTACAGATAACTTGACGAACAAACACATGACAGCGACTACACTACGACAAGCAAAGGTCGTCAGACGATGAATAAAGGTACTGGAGTCGTAGATATGATTCAAATCCGGGCTCACCAGGGCAAGGCTAGCCACAAGTTACGGTTGCTTAGACAAGCTGGGTTTGTAGCATCGAATCGCCGCCGCGTCAACGAAGCACAATAGACAGTTGTTGTCTTGACAGTTTACGACTTTAAATAACTTTCTTGGTGTCTGGTGCGGTGCATTCACTTGCTTAAAATCATCACAAACGAGAGATTCAGCCAGGTTCTAGGTGAGTCTCCCGCAAAACAAAATTTGCTTGCAAATGAGTGTATTTCGCCAACTGTCTTGGTTCTTTGCACGCGTTACAATTCAGCAAGTGGCGAGCGATTACACTCGACAGAATCCTCAAGCTATCGAGTGCAAGCTCTTCGGGACGTGTTTCAAAACCCTTGTAGATAACCGTCTGTTTATTCTTCAAAAGTACGTGCTACCGCAAGGTATGTATCAGATGGGGTAAAAGGAGTTTGATTTATCAAGATTGGCTTCTGTTGACATCCACGGTGTTCTATCGGACACAACTAAACTCACAGCGTTGAAAATATCGGCGACAGTTTGACCCGGTCACCGCTGCACCCTTCTACCCCATTCGGAATGTAGCTTGATAGAAGCTTTTTTGGGGACACCACCTCGATTCTCTTTCTTTTTAAAAGTGCTCCCCTGTTTTTCAATAAAACTACGAGGATAACCGTTGTTTTGAAGTACGGCTGATAAGTTTCCGTTATCTCTTTCTAAAGTCTAAACGGAACAATGTTTCTGGTTCTGGTAAACAGACTTGTATGAAAGTTCGATTGTGCTTTACCGGACAGAATGTGATGAAACTAAGGCATTTTCCTGTTCAGATTGGCCCATAGAATGTCAATCTGATGGGTGAATTTGAATGAATATAAACGGGCTGATGAATGTAAACTTGTTTCTCACTGACAGCGAAAAATACTAAATCACTAATACCCACAATGTGCATGAAATCTCTCGTGTTCAAAAAATCACAATCCGATCTTCCTCGGGGATCTCCTTAGTGAGACGTTAGTGTGTGGATTGTTTCCAATATGCTGGGCACCTCTACACGGTCTGACTTCATTCAGTGGCCGTCTGGACATGAACGAAAGGTTAAAAACAGACAGTTTTGGTGCGGAACCAACGCGACATTATTATCCAACGTGCAACACAGGTTAATCACTTGACGATCAAAATCTTAGTAATTGAAATACCTAAAACTTTGACGTATTAGACTCGGACAGACGAAAATCTAACTTCGTGGTGTCCACAACTTTCCAATTAGCAGATGATTTTCTAAAAACAGTCTCAATCAGCACAAGTTCAAGAACGAGCCCATAACGCTAGTTTCGGTGGGCGTGCCTGGTTTCAAGCTATCAAGCAGGCCAGTTTGAACTCCCTTCTCTTCCTCTCCATCGAGATGATGATGATGACGATCATGACGGCGATCATAACAATCGCCATCATCAGTAACAGTAGTAGCAGTCGCTTTGCTTAGCCTTGCTTGTGAGCGGATGATTCGTGCCACCGTTGGCTTGATAAGCACAGATGAAGAGAAAGATGTCTAACAGTAAAGTTGGAGAACGGGAAACGGTTTACTTACTGGATTTAGTCGATGTGACGATGGAAACTGTGGGACTGTCAAACGTTTCCGGTGGTGTTGTATCAAAGTCATTGCCATCTTGATCGAGTAAGAAATGCATGCATCATGAAGGAAACATACCCGCAAAACGTTCACCATATTATGCGACCAGTTGCTTTCGGTATGATTGTTTTGGCCAATTAAATATTAACAGTACCCTCTGCTTGACATATCACCACAACGCAATGAAGTTTTTCTCAGTTAACAAGAACTCAGTTTAGCCTAGAGAACAACAATAGTGAACCAGAGATTTCCTGGTAAGCACTCTAATAATCAAATCCTAGCCACTCAAGGTTTTCAATCACTTGTTGAAACCTTGCAAAGAAGCTATAAGACTGAAACTACTAATTTTAACCTCAATTATAGCAATCAATACATAGGATGCACTGTTGGAAAGCAGTTATCACATGCTTTTGTACTGTGTGAAAACCACTCCACTCAATCCCAGGCTTGATTCCCGCAACATCTTCGTCTGGAACGATGTAGATTGTTCCTTCTCAAAGCTGGAGCGGACCTTCATAAACTAGAGATTCAACTGGATTCAGTTAAGTCAACTGTCAAAACCAAATTCGTGTCTATTGGGAGAACCAGTACCGAACGTCACGGGACTACATAACTGTCAATGGAATAATCGTTTTCCGTTGAGACAGATTTCATTGGCTGTTCTTCACTGGCCCTTGACAGAAGAGTTGCATTCTTATTATCACTTTTCTGACTCGCTTTTCCACGACGGTGATCAATAGAGAAGCTGGCTCGCACGTTCATTGACTTTCCTGGTTTGGCCAAGCACACCAAGCGATCAAGCGGCAATCCAGACCGGGGTTCACGGTAAAATAAGTCAGTAAGGGACTGTGGTCCACAACAGCGTCCAAGTCTATCCAGTTTCGTGTTCAACTAGAGCATAAGGCTGACAGAAAATTGAAGACTGAGCGGCAATCCAGACCGGGGTTCACGGTAAAATAAGTCAGTAAGGGACTGTGGTCCACAACAGTGTCCAAGTCTATCCAGTTTGGTGTTCAAGTAGAGCATAAGGCTGACAGGAAATTGAAGACTTCGCCTACTGATGAGCCCCAGAAGGGCCGATCGACTGTCGAAGAGTTTTCATAAATCTTATGAGTAGTGGGTGGCGTCCAACCAACCTCTAGCATATGCATGAGGGGTGTGTGAAAAACATGGTGATGCACAGTTCCACTCGAAAACCCTATGCTTGATTCCCACAGTATCATTTTTGTCTAGACTATTTCTCCTCTCTCTTGGGGCAGTTACGAACAGTTTTAGTGGTCTTTTCGCTAGTAAAACACAAGTATCAGATGGAGCGAATTGGTCACGAAAACGTCTCAAAAAGATGAATGCATCTCAGCGTCACGATAATGTGAAAGGGTGATGACTGCGGTGAAAGTGATAAACAGGAAAATGTTCATATTCTGGCGGTTCCAGTAATATCGAGTTCCATATCTGCACATTTCGGAACCTGTGTGTGCTGTCACCACCTTCTGGCGATTGTCGAATACGTCTGAATTCCTGATACCCCACGCTAAGGCTTAGCTGACTGAGAGGCAGCGTGTTTACGGACGACAGGAGATGGCCCAAGTTAGTTCATTAATTAACTACCGAAGTGAAACATCCCTTGTAACTGATGGTAAAATGCAAGTGACCTAAAAAAACAAACCTAAAGCACAAACTATTCCATGTTCTTCCAATGATTTCTTAAGATTTTTGGGTGAGTACAAGGCGTAGCCAAAGCGACCAAGATAGCGAGGATAAAATAGTGGGTGAATTCACCCTCGCGTTGTCTCACGTGAGTGTTTCAACACTCCGATGAGGTTGTCAGAGCCTAAAGAGTGGTTGACACGTGCTCATTTCATCATGTTTGATGCGATCGGTAGCAGAGTTCTCAGCGCAAGGATGCTTTTAGGTGAGTTGAAGCCCAAACATAAAGCCGAGACTTTTAAAAGTCTGTGCAATGAAATGTTACAGAGAGATAAGTGTGCAAGACCTCCTATAACTTTTGGAGCTGCTTAGACTTCCGTGGAGCAGGCCGAGCTTGTCATTTGTGTTCCTTGGTTGGTACCTTAATAATCCACACTATCTCCGATGTAGAACACTGAGTAACCCCAGTATTCAATTCTGCACACAAACATTGTATACAGAAAGTTGTTGACATGTATTTTGTCCATACTTCTGTTTGTGACTGGAGTATATATGTGGCCAGTAGCCATCGTAACATCGGACACATGGTCAAGGTTATAGTTGGATGGGAAAATCCTAACGTTCAAAGCAGTCGATGACATTGGGACAAACTCGGTCGTATTGGCGGCCTTGTACACGCATTGAATCTGTTTCTACTCATCCTATGACGGGATTCGGTGAAGTGCCACAAACTAAAATCGGATGTGTGATGTTACAGCTTACTTCGGCTGATCAGAACATGCTATTCAGATAATATGTGCACGTTTCTACACCGAGACCCTCAAAAATACGATGGAAACTGAATATGCACGCAAATTTTGTCATTTCATTAGAGCTTGATGAAATATTCCAGAAAAATCGCGAAACTGTCAAGAGCGTCACACGGCTTACACAAACTGGCTTACACAGATGTGACAGGCGGTTGCTGGAGCTGCTCATAAGGGCTACTCCAGTGTCAAATCTCAAGTTCGGTATCAAATCCCCTAGGCATAAATTTTTTAGCAAAACTGTCAAACTGAAAGCTGTGAAAATCCTTGTAAAGCCCCAATCTACTGATCAGCATTGCACACGATTCATTGATGTTTTCTTTTTGAAGTGCACAGATTCATATGCTTTCGAAAAAAAATTCGTATTATCAGCATACCGTTCCAGTAACTTCGTACCTATTGGGACGACAAAACCCTCCCCAAAGTATAAACACAATACGAGTGGAAACGCACCAGAGATTCGAAACGTATGGTCTGAAATATCACGTCTACATGGATATGGTAGCGACGTTGTAACAGTTGGACTCCTAGC